GCCTATGCTACAACAAAACCCTGACACCAGTTCTGCTCTGAATTCGATCATTGCAGATTTTGCTATTTGTTCTAGATTGTATCATTGGAGGCAAGTGTGTAATAGCTGATAGAACATCCAGCAAAAACTGCTACATATAAATATATATATATATATATATATATACTACAGCTAGAATATGTACTACACTATAACAACATTTATTCATATCCTTGTAACCACTATCGGAGCAATAACTATAAGCTACATTTGAACAACAACGGATACAACCCAAGTAAACCTCAACTAACATCGACAGGATTGGGCTGGCTTGACTGGTGGAGCTGGACGAGCCATCGCAGCTCATGGGTTCAACCTCTCCATCCGGTCAGAGAACTCCAGGCCTGGACCGGCAAGTGAGAGAGCAGCTTATCGTTGCATTGTGGTTTGGATGCTTAGGAGTTCGAAGATAGCAAAGCTGAAGTACGTGATCAGACGTGCAATGGAAGGACAGCGGTTGCAATTGCTCGATCGGGATTGTCTACATGTATATGTATTAACTTTCAGACTGCACTGCCCTGTGCTTGCAGCTGCGAACGTGACCCTCGAGAGTGTTGCGAACCACATGTCTGCATCACCGGATGATGCTGAAGCTAGCCAGCATATATACCCAAACCCCAAAGCCGTATCAGCCCCTAAACCCTTTATCTTGAATCCGAGGCTTCGCTCAGTTCCGGAGCCTCCTCGGCATCGCTGCCCCTGTCACCCAGCAAGACGAAGGCCTGCAGGGCACGGGCTAGCTGCGCACGGTCATCATACATGATGCTTTCATGAAGGTAGGCTGTGGAGGCAGGTTGACATTTCAATTTTGGGCTTCAATTCAAGCTCTCCTTTAAAGGCCATAGAGACTTGTCAATAATATATTAAGCTTAAGATATATGGATGTGTATATATAGATGTACATAACATACATACATACGTATACAGACAGAAAATACCTATATACATATATATATATATATATATATATAGCCTTGTAGACATCTGCATGTGCATATATATATATATATGCGTGTATATGATAGATAGCTAGATATAGTATCTAGGTCGATAAAGATATAGTTTATATCATAATATTAGTTTGCTCCACAAATAGACACATATGTATAGGTCTACATCTAGGCAGCGAGACACACACACATACTCATATATGTGTATGTATATATGTAAATGCTCAGTACAAACTTGTAAATGTATATTCCTATATATACATATACACACATATACACACCTATACAGGTTTGTTCCCATATAGGTTTGGATATCCCAGAACCCCTGTGACCAGTAAATATAGCACACTATATTAAATATTAGCATCTCCGTATTTCAATACCTGGCCTTGTGCATTTGTGTACATATATATATATATATATATGTGTAGACACATAACACACATCGTAGAATCTAGCTACATGCCATATAGCAAAGCAGAATGATACGTGAGCATTATTTAATGCTTTGGCAGGACACTGCCATGCCCCGGCTGACTCCTTTGGTGGATCCGGACAACATGGAGACCCAGGCCTGGGATATGGATCTTGGGCTATTTGATGGGCCAGTGCATTTCGATGAAGCTAGCTCGCATTATATGGTGGATCCATCCAGAGTTTAATTAATTGGTCAGCATTTAAATGCCGGTGCATGGCTGATAAGGCAAATGAAAATGATGAGACGAATGCGATTGTGGGTGACCTTGAAAAGGAGTTGGAGGCTGTAACTGAGCTGGCAAATTTCCATGAGTGTAGCATACATAGAAGAGTGTTCAGGCTTGAACATGCTAGCTCACTAAGTTGATGGACAAGGGAGCTGGCAGTGACTTGACGGTGGAGCTGCCGAATAAAGAAAGGACACAGGCCTCAAAGGACCATGTGCCATTGTACTTGGAGAAGGAGAACTCTCCAGTTGATGAGAGCCGGCTCAACGAGCTGCTGGCAAGCGGTGTTGCTGCAACGGCTGGTGTGGATGCTGATTGGCTTGAAGCTCAAGCCAAGGTGGGGGATTCATTAGCCTGACAACTCCATTAATGTCACTTTCGTGTAGACTGCAGAGTTTCTTTGTTGTGGATTCTGCAGGTCCGCAGAGCCCGGAGGGAAGTTGCTGGTGATGGGGGGGCGCAGGAGCCCCCACAGAAGCGCCCCAAAACCAGAGGCAGGCCTAAGAAGGCAGCAACAAAGCCGGTGGAGAGTGGTGCCCCACCGCCGATGGAGAGTAGTGCCCCGCAGCAGCCGATGGAGAGTAGTGCCCCACAGAAGCCGATGGAGAGTAGTGCCCCACGGCAGCCGATCGAGGAGGGTGCCGCAGAGCCGATCGAGGAGGGTGCCACAGAGCAGTCGTCGATCGAGGAGGGTGCCGCAGAGCCGATCGAGAAGGGTGCCACAGAGCAGTCGATCGAGGAGGGTGCCACAGAGCAGTCGATCGAGGAGGGTGCCGCACAGCCGATCGAGGGTGCCCCGTCGCAGTCGATCGAGGAGGGTGCCCCGTCGCAGTCGATCGAGGAGGGTGCCCCACAGCAGCCGAGCATGGTGACTGGTGGTGCAGTTGGTCTTCCCATCAAGACGAAGAAAGGCGAAGTGTTGCCTGAGGGTACAGCTGCAGCAGAGCTCATGGCACAGTGGCGCTTGACAGCAACTTGCCCGTCAAGACACCCTGCATATATCCTTCGGTTCACCGTGGTGTTAGTGTTGGTTTGTGTGCTCTGTATGACATCGGCACACAGATGCATCTCAAGGTGCATATCTACACATGTGATAATGTATGCACACTGTAGCTATAACAGTGGTTGCCGAAGTAAGTGATCTCAGTTTTGGCTCTGACACACAAATGTTCACACACACACTCTCTCTCTCTCTCTCTCTCATATATATATATATATACATATATATACATATGTATGTGTATATGTATATAGGCACACACATGGAAGATTTAGATTTCTATTTATATGTACATAAATAAATAATATACATATATATATATATATACATACATAATATTTATCTATCGACATATGTGTGTACATGCACCCTATGCATAGGGTCTAAATCAATAATGACAATAAAAACATAAAGATGTGTGTATGCGCATGGCCAGAGCTCAGGCACCAAGCCTACTGCAGGCTGGTATTCCCTTGCCAGCTGGCTATGGTGTGGAGAGTGAAATGTTGCACAAGAGCTACACGATCAAGTATGACGGCCCTGGCGACCACAAAAACATATCTACGATAGGTGTGCTGTGGCCTGGCATGACATAGACCTGTATGTATGCACCAATCATGTAAAATGATAATGCACTTCGGTGCCGATCTATGTGTGCTTACGGCTGTCATGCAAAACCGAGGTGGGCCAACGGCCAGCTTTACGTCAACAGAGTGATGAATGCCAAAGCTGCTGGGGATGCGAATGTCAACATCAACAAGAAGAAGGGGGCCACGGTGAACGCCCGTAAGAAGAAGGGCTGGCTCCCCGTATTCGAGCTTGCGAAGCAGCTCGGAGGCTGGCCATAGGCCAATGAGGTTTGCTACAGAATATGTGTTCGTAGGCACATAGAAGGCAAACATCTAGTGTGCATGCCAAGGGCAATGCTTCTATTTTGTGCAGATGATTTCCAAATTAGTTATGGCTGCTCATGCTAGTCAGAATCGAATGAAACTGATCGAAGAAGTGCAGCGAGCAATGTGTGTGTGTGTGTGTTTTTGAATGCTGGGGCTGGTCTTGCACTTTGCCTGCACATGCTGTTGATGCATACATACACATGTTCCTGCATGTCAGGCTGTTTTTCTTGAAAAGGGTTTGCCAAGCTAGACGACAGCTGGACTCCTGTGTGGAAATGCCGAGTGCCCCTGCGCGGGTACTGTTGAGTGCCCGGACCTCTGCAACCCTTGTGCTACTTGGAGCACCAGCCCTCTTGCAGCCTGTATGCAAACCAGAGACAGTGCATGTTGGTTTGTTATTGCCGTGTGTGTGTGTGCATCTCGCACGTACTGTGATGATATACCCTGAGGCTGCACCTGGCTGATTACATCGGACAGCTGAGTGAACAAAACCCAGCGGTACCCTGGAGTAGAGACACTTGCCTTCACACACATCAGGTGCATGTTGAGATATAGCTCGACAGATTTTCTGATATGTGAGACAGGAAACAAAACACTGCCCAGGACATCCAGCTGTTGGAGCTTTTTTCTGGTGAGAAGGTCATCACCGGTGCCTTTCGAGAGGCTGGTCTTAAAGTGCATCTTGGATGTACCGATCCATATAGCATGTGTGCTTTGAGTGATGTCTAAACAGTTCATGAAAATTGTACAGTGTTGCTGGTCGGCAATTTGTATATGTAAACACATATGCATATATATATATATATGTGAACATACATATACATATACATATATATATATATATATATGATATGAGTGTGTGACACATCGAAGCTTAGGCAGTGGTATGATGTGATCGGCCGTGGGTCGAGCAATGATATTCTGACTACAGCTGGCTTTTTGACGGCCCTGAGAGATGTCCTGCGGCTGGCTAAAGGAGCTTTGCTCTGGATAGGACTACCTTGCTCCTCGTCCCTCGGCTTAATGTGCATATACCTGTGTGTGTGCATGCGTGTGTATGTGTGCGTTTGTGAATGTACATGTACATACATGTTCTATGCTGGATTATGCTGGTGTACATATATTACGGTGCATGTGGGTATAATGTTTTGTTTACATGTTTTGCCACTCCTGTACATGTCATGTACATGCTTGGTCACTGTAGCGCCTTTCTAGGTGGGTTTGGGTATCCTCGGGGACACATCAACGACATCTTTCTGTGCTTGGAGATCAGAGACACTGAGCTGCACCTGTTGGGGTTCAGTTGTGCCGGATTGTGATCTTGACTTACTGAAGTTGCAAGGTCAAGATATGGTAAGGCAAGGAAACGAGATTGCCGCCCGATGTGCCCTACTGATACTGATGGCCGTGTCTTTGGGTGTGCACTACGTGGTGACTTGCTGCAATAAACATGCTGGTGATACGTATCGGCCGATGAAAGCCCTAGTGCAAATCACATCTGAGGTGGAACAGCCATATAGCAGTGTGGTTCTCTCGTTTCCGTACATCCACCACATCCTCACCTGCCCCTACACTGCTGCTTCGATATGCTACCAGGACTTGTGCCCTGCTTCAATGTACAGCCGTTAAATTATACCTACTCCACATGTGCAGGCAAACTACACTGGAGGCTTTCTTGTTTAGACATCCATGTATGAGCTGAGTTACATGGCGAACTATGGGCACTGGGCCCAGAAGCGGAGCTGGTTGATGGGGACCCCGAGGCTTGGATGCAATTGGGAGCCCTATATAAGCGACTCACATCATGTCTAGCTTATACCACACACACACACACTGGTATCTGACTCCCAAATCAACAAACTTCCCACGATCTTGCTAAGCAATACGATTCCCCGGCTGCAGCCCCAAAGTCCTGACCAATAAAACCCATGAGCCCCTGAACCACTGAATCCCAAACCCCAACCCTTACCCCCCTATTAGAGCTGAACCTCTAAATGTAGCCCCTAAATGAATTCCAAAACCCAAACCCCAGATGTAGCCTGAGCAACACTTCCACACACAAGCCCCGATGCATTAATGCGTTGATTCCAGAAACATACATAACTCAGGACATGGATCCGATCCTTGCAGAAACGCCTTCGACCTGAAGTGAGAGCCTCCTTGGCGTCAAGCACAGAGGCTAAGGTGGTAAGCAGGAAGAAGGTGATTGTGAAGGATGGTACCATAGAGAAGACTACGACTAAAGTGTCCGAGGCCAAGCTATTGGATTGATCCCCAAGTCGGTAGTCGAATATTGAATTATTCAATCTTAAAAAGCTCGAGGTCTGGCGCAGCAAACCTGAAGGCCACCGCAGCCTATCCGAAGGAGTTCGGGGCCTTCGTACTGGAGTCGTGGCTGTCCTCTCCACAGGCCTGGCTGGGCTGGGCTTTGCACATGCTGCAATTGCAATGAACATGGTCACGATCTCTAAGTTATATTCAACAGTCACGCTGCATATGATTCCCAGAGCCTTGTGTCAAGAAGCAGCAGGTGCAGCCGTTTCTAGCTCAGGGCCTCGATTAGCTTCAAGTCTAGCTGTGCGCTGCGGTGTGTGATGACAAAGTCTCTTCAGCAAATGAAGAAGATGCTGGAGCCATACTGCGTTGGGGGTGTTACACGACGACAAAATGCAGACGATGTTCTGTTCCTCCATTTCTGCTTCCACCGCAAGTACACCGAATCTTATCTTTCGGATTTGGCTAGCAAGCTGATGAAGTCGGATGCTTGATATGACACAAGTATGTCTTTGCCCATTGATGTTGAAAGTTAGAGTGGTTCATGGTGTGATGTTGGCCTTGCAGCAAAACCTGCTACTACTAAGGACAACCAGAGCAAATATGCACTGGGGAAGACAATCTCCGAGGCTTTGGACAAGTTGCAGGAGCTGAAGAAGCAAAGGGCAAGGGGACGAGGAAACCAAGGAAGATGAAGCCCGGGGTGAGGTCCGAGCCAACATACGTTCCCATAGTTTTTTGGACTTGCATTACAAATTCACAATTCAGCTAAAGCACAGAATGTGCTGCAGCCTACTCGGACGCTTTGCATGTACAGCGCTGAGCTAGCTAGCAGCTTAAGGAGTGCCATCGGCATTGCAGTCTGAAAAGGCCATAACATTACTGCATTACCGGCTAGCCCTCATGATCATACTGATGTGTAAAGTTATATTAATTGCAACAAAACATCACGATGGATCAGGTGGGCAAGCCTCCGCATCTTGATCTGCCGCTGGATCTTTCATCTGCAGAACCTGCAGCTGCTTGGTGCATCGTATATGTCGACAGAGAGAGAGTAAAGCAGTGGGTTGCTATATATTACACTAGATTCGGTTCGTTGGGTTTCTAAGTTTCACGTGTGGGAATCTGGGACGATATAGGGCTTTGAGGATTTCGGATTGTCGGTCTTTTGTAGGGGTCTCGGGATGTGGAGATGTAAGTGTATTCCAAGCTTAAGGGATTTGGGGTCTTTAATCCGGCTTTGGGATTTCGGGCTTCGGGACTTCGGGTCTTGTGGTGTATGTTTTAATGCCAGAGGCCTGGGAAGCTAGGTGCTCAGCTTGTTTAATTTGGGTTTGGGACTCAGGCTGGAGGCTTTAAGCCCAAGGGAGCTTGAGTATAGGTCATGCATATGGTAAAGCCCTTGGGGAATATTGGGTAGTTCACTAGCCAAGTACATCAACCCCAAACCCCAAACCAATTAAAGGCCCTGCCTCCACCTCTACATAAAGCCACTGGGCCAACAAAGCCGACTCCTGCTTATGTATCTCTATATATATATATAGTAGAATCCAGAAAGTTGGAACTTCATTATTATCTCCAAGGTAAATTTAAAGTATAAGGGATCCTAGCACCAATCCTCTCAAAGTCATGTTCCAACTTTCTGGCTTCTACTATATATATATATATATGGCTAGAACAGACTCGTCCCTACAAATACAAATGTGGACAAGAACTTCAGCACCCCGAAAACGAATGCATTCGAACCCGACTTAGCTAGTCACATAAAGCGTCAGAAACAAAACCCAGTGTGAACCCTAAACCCTAGAACCTGAAATTAAGAAGGGGTCTCAGACTTTTGGGGTTTGTTATCGGAGATAGGCTTCGGAGTCGTGAATGATCATCT